TTTTACGGCCTTTACCTCTATGGTAGTTTTGCATTTAACTAATGAGGCAAAGATGCTAGTCCGTAGTAAAGGCAGCACGGGAGATATGGAGAGATTTTTAAAGCTAAGTAGTACGCCAATACCTTAGACCGGACATTTCACTTAAATGTATTAGCTTTATATCATTGAATTAAACAAACAGGTATCGAGTATATTTCTTACGTAAACTACTACTAGATCAGTATTTGGTCCAATAATTTTAATATAATGAGACAGCATTGAGACAGATATATGGGAGAACGCATTTCTAAGTTTTCGCAAGATAAGCCAAAAATTGTTGATATCAATCAAATAGATTTAAAAGTATAGCCTTTCTGACCTGATTAAAAATTGACCTTTTGGTTTGGAAAAAAGGATAAACTTCTAATTAAAAGTTATTTTCAGGAGTTAATTAATTGTTCAGTTAAAAAGAGTACGATACAAATAATGAGACGACTGACAGGGATCAGGCCATATCCATTGTGAGCTGTCAAAACATCAAAGTCACAATTTGAGCGACTTTTCTAGCGGCTAATTTAAAATGCGCCGCTAACGAGACGAAATCAAACCATTACGTAAAACAAAAGGACACTTAGGCCGCACCGCACTCCGATTGTAAGGGACAATGGCGCGGAACTAAGTGACGAGCACTCGTGTTGACAGTTCGCCCACATGTCCCAGACCCCATGTCCTTTCATCATCTGCTCGGTTGGCAAGCACGTGTGTAGTGCTTATTTTAAAAATTATCTATTATAAATGAAGGCTCCAGCAGGGTCAGCATGCAAGGCAACAAAACCCTTTACTGTCAACAGTGTAGCCAGAGCCACTGAGTGACAAGAGTGCGCCCGTCGCTGACCAACAAATCTCAGTAAAACTTTTGCGTCACATTAGCCGCGCATTAAAAATGCACAAAAACCGAAAAGATGGTCGAGGAACCAGCAACGACTGCCAGGGAGAATTCACCTGTCCAACTCGAAACAGCAACACCCTTTCACCCACCAACACACACAGGCACATCCATTGCGTTCCCTTTTCCACCCGTCATGTCATTGTTGCTCTTGTCGCCGCCAATCCCGCTTGTCACAAAAGTGTCACTCAAATGTAATTAACAAAGAGACGAAAACAACAAAAATCTTACCAAACGTCAACGAGTCGGGCGGGAATTTTGTTGAATTTTTAACGTGGAAATTTATTTCTGCTACTCCTATATACACACTTACATACTAATACTGAGGCTTGAACACTGAAAAACGATTTATTCAAGGGCAAAGGCACAATTAACATTTCAATTTGGAATCTCTTTCAGCAATTACAGAGCAAACTCATTTAAAGAATTTGGTGTCAGAAACGTACATTGAGCGTTTTCGGTCGTGGTAGGGCCATCTTCACGTTTGTTTTGTCATTTTTCTTCGTATTTACATAAAAAATTAAAGGCGTAAAATCTCTTAATCGATATTAAATTAACGAAGTTTCTAAGTTCCGGACGTTTTTTGACTGATTGGATTGCTTTGATTATTTATTGATATTTTACATTCCCTAACTATCTTTGTCGCTTTTTCCAAAATTAAGGAATAGTAGATTCTTTTTCCTGTACGGATATTTTTGTACTTTTTCGTTTGGACGAAACTCAAGTTCCATTTAAAATTAAATAGTGCGTGGCCGACTTTATATGGCAAAATTGTTTGTTTGTGCATTGAACTTTAGAACTACTCTTTTTGTAAAGTCAATCTTAATACAAATCCATCCATGTTGAATATTTACTATACTTGTATATGTTGTTGGTAATGAATTTTGAAACTCACTCTAAAGTTCCATTGCAATCTGTGCAATAGGTAATTGTGAATAAGAAAATAAGAACTCCACGTCAATATTAAGCTGCCTTGCATATTAATAACGTTTGTAGAGACGTAAACTAAAGACTTAAACAGCAAACTGGCAACTCTCATCACAAACAACAGCAATTAACAACAATAAAATGATTTCCTTGCAACAAAGTTGCATTAAAAACTTTTCAATAATACTGTAGAAAAAAACAGATTATTATTCTTTTTACCACAATCGCAAACTCGGAGCAATTACAGTACACAAGCGAAGCAGCCGACTATTGCTATCTCTGTCGCAGAGAGCGCATGCGCCGACAGAAGCTGCTCTGCCATTGGCTATGAGCATTGACCAATAAATGGAAGGCTGCATATCACACATAGCGCGACAATTTCGGCAGTTTATAACGTGCTTTTTTAATTGCTCTAATGGCTTTTCGTGCAGAGCAGCGACTGAGACTTCAGCGGAGGCGGCGGTTGATGCTGACAGCAGTACAAAAGAAATATATATTGTCCGCTGCACTTTTTGCTGTGTTCATAGTCGTTTTTGTTTCTGTTTTTGCTGGCATTGCATGCATAATTAATTTGGCTTTTAGTGACTGTGCCATACGCCGCCTTTTGTCGCCTATTTACACATTGTCAACGGCAGAGCTGAGTGCCTCCCTCTGTCCACAATTGGAATGACTTTATGTACAAATTTTTCGTAATGCTTTTTGTTGCGTTGTTGGCCACAATACGTATTAACGGGCGACATTTTTGGCTCACGCTAATGGCTTAAACGTGTCTGCTTTGGCTTCTTTTCCACCAAGGGTTGAGTCAATTTACCTTTTTGGTCGTTTTGTGTAGCTGTTCATTGCGGATTTTTATTAACAGTTATTTTTAGCGGCCGATGTTGCAACACTGTACGTGTGGTCCGAGTGCAAGTTGTAAAAGCTGAAGTTGAAAAAATAAGGACACTTTCGTAACTTCTCGTAAATGGTGTATTATTTTCAATTATACTTAAAAGAATCTTTGAAATTTGTTTTTCCTGAAATATGGCAATATGTGAAGGGAATTCAATTTATTATTCAAATATTAAATGGCACTTAACTTAAATCAAAATTCTTAAACGCACCAAAAACAATTGGATAAAATAATAATTAGAACTATTTAATAAAGTAGCGCCAAAAATTTTAATTTTAAAATAAGAAACTTGTTTAACTTGTTTTGTATTAGTAGCAGGTACATTTATCCATCTTTACAAGTAAAACAAATTTTTTTATGGGGCTAAAGGCTAACGTCTGAGTTAGTAAGTCCTGCAGGGTCCCATTATTGACATTATGGGTCACTATTCTGCTTAAATGCGCCCCTTAGTGGCACATTGTTTTGACATTAAAATCTGTTCATTTTATATATCTCAAAATTGATCTACGATGTACCGTACCATCAAAAACAAACCGAGGCAAAATGATTTTTTGTTGATAATAAGAGTAGATTCCAATATAGATCGTGCTACAGGTTCTACATAATTATGAGTAACATATTTAAAAAATACATACAATAAATAGGACCCCACATACATACATATGTGATGTATCCAATATTTGCACCAAAGCAGAAACAGCATAGCTACTACAGAGCATATGCATACATACTCGTATATACATATGTATATGATATTTTGGTATCCGTATATCGACTCGTTTCGCTATTCAAGAACTAAGAATTTTTGGAAGTAAAACTTTAATTTATAGAACTAAAATTTGACTTAATAGCAGCCGGAATGTTTCTATGAAATAAATATGTACATATATACATACATAGTTGCCTTGTACTGCATGTAATCGACAAATATGATTACATGTGTATGTATGTACATACATACATATGTGCACGAAGATCCAATACAAGTTTGTGTTTATTCCACATTTATACAATTATTTTATTCATTATTGGTTAATTATTGTTTGCCATCCACATACAAAGTTAATTGCTTGTTATTTACATATGTAGCACGTTTAGAAAATTAATATAATATCTTGGGGCGACATCAACTTGAAAAACTTAAACATCGATTAATTAAGTATAGATTTACGAGTACCATAAAAGATTGGTGCTTTTATTTTGCTTTTTGTCAAAATGAGGCAATTCCCAAAAGGGCAATGAAGGCAATAGGGTAAACAAATTATAATAAGCTTGCTAATTTTTTTTATAGCCCGAAAGAAACCACCTAATAATTCGCTTTTATTAAAATATCCATTTGTGTTATAAAAATAGCTCTAAGAAGAATATACCTACACTGAATCAACTACTGAATAGTATATGTACATACATATATCGATTAATTGCAGTCGACGAAATAAGCAATATTGAGTCTTCTGATTGGCCATACCATAAAAATGCTCACCAATTCCAAGACCCACCTAAAAAAAAAATCAAAATACAGCACCATGCCGACCTCAGTCGCCGGCCCATGCTCCGCCTTTATGTATATCAAAGAGGGCAGCACATACGCACGGTTTCATCTCTCTCGCTCATTCGAACATATCTCGAGAGAGGGGCCCAATGTGTGGTGCTTATATAAAACCGTACACTCATTCTCACACTTGTGTTCGCGCGTTATGTGTGTATGTGTGCTCCCGTGGGGCGCCATTTAATACTTCGCAGTTACTTCCCAAAATGAAAAGAGCCGCACAAACAGAACTCACACTCTCACACAAACACTCCTATACTTAAATGGCAGAACGACGAACCAGTTCGCCTAGTGCTTTTCTATAGGCGTTTTTATATTGCCCTCTCTTCTTTTGTTTTCATTGCCGACTGCTGCGTTGTGCAACGCCTGCGTGCTCGTTTGCCGCACGAATGGGCTGCTGTGCTGCATTTAGTTGCGTAGCTCTGACTTCGGATTCCTACGGCACTCTGCTCTTGGCTCTGATTTAGTAACTTTTTGGTGCTCGCGGCGGTTGGACGTCGTTGATGTCATCATCGTTGTCGTAAAAAAGAACACTTGGGATTCATTGTTTTCAAATGTGCAACTGATCCTTTAACAACTCAAAATATTTTGTAAAAAAAAGACTATGATAGCGTGAAAAATGTATTTGTGGAACAAGTCATAAAATACGAGTACGTTCGCTTAGTTTCAATTCATGGATCATATTTGTATTAATTAAAAGTGATAATGCCATGATGGCTTTAAAGATGTTGTACCGTGGGCCCAGTTCGCGTTTGGAGAATTTAATTGAAAAAATTCAGGCAACGAAGGAAATAACAAATAATGGTAATTACAAGATCAATGAACAGACACCAAAGTGAATAATAACTCAAGTGATTAATAAAACAGCGGAAAAGCTTTTACAAAAGACTTCAATGTGTGATAAGAATTGTTAAGCTATCTATCCTGATAAAGCCTAGGGAGAGACCAACAATTAGCAAGTATTTTAATTTAACTTGCTACTCGAACATATGTATTTAAGAATATGTTACTTACTTAACAAATAAAATGTCTCTATCCTCACTATCACTATACGTATGTATTTCTTTCGCAATGTTTTGAGACAAAATATAATTATATATAAATAAGAAATAGATGAAATTGATCGAAAGTAGAGAAAATCCAGAAATACACCACTTTTTGAAAAACCTACTGCTCAAGTTAATCTGATTTTTTTTTTGAATACACTTATCCAACGGTTTTTCCATTATTTAATCACTCCCGTGTAATGTGGTTCACCTAGGGATATAATAAGTAGGTACTCGTTCAAAAGACTATATCTTCATTTGATTTCAATTGGTTTAACCAAGTAATTTTTTAGAATTAGAAAAAGGTTCCATTCCTGCAATTTCGCGATGGCGACTGCCCCGCTGTGTACCTATCCTCTGTATGTATGTATGTATTTCACACTCCCATATGCTCACTATATTAAGTTATTCACTAATAGCCATTTTTTGGAGGGTGGAATCTCATAGACCGTTGTGATTTAATTTAAGCGTCTAATAAGAATTTTGTGGCCGAAAAAGGGTTGGCAAGTTTCTATAAACAACTTTTTATTCGGTTATTGTATCATTAAGGTAGCTAAATATTAAATTTTTCATTGCATTAATTTTTCATCATCAAATCTTTTATGTAACACATCCATCCGTAAGTACGTACATACACGTGTTGAAATCTTGTTTAATTGCATACATTGTCGTCTTTTTTGTGTCCCTCTATATGTGTACGAACAGAACCTGGGCAAAAGTTGACTTGAAATTGAACATTAGGACAATCGAATGTAATTGTCTAATTGGTTAAATCATTCCAAGAATTTTGGGAGTTTTGGAAAAATTACTGAAAGGAAGGGTGTGGGGGGTGGGAACAGGAGAAAAAGACACAAAATTGTATTGCGTACGAACTGGGGGAATTTGAATAGTAATTTTTATATTAGTTTTCAAGATCCCTACTTATATTGTCAAACTCATCAGGAAAATAGGTTCTTTTTTTCTGCCTAGTCTGTCTTACGAAAATTTTGTGCGATTTCGCCTTTAAGGTCTGAATCGAGAACGGATTGTTCACATAACATTTAATTAAATTGAATACAAAATATTCAATACATACAACAGCATACATATACAATCGTGTCTATACTTCTTCATATGCGTGCATGCAGTACAGAAATACGTCGAAGCAGCAACAACAACAGCTGCGGACAGAGCTTGGGAAGAGATTATATTTATGGCTATAACATTCTTCACAATTGTCCTATCATAATGAAACATAAAATACGGACATATAATCACTAACAGAATGTGACTACCAAATTTGAGTTCAAGATTCCAAGAATTAAGTTAGTTATAGAAAATCGAGAATAGCGAGTGAGTAAGGAGGCGTATCGGAAAAAATGAACAAAACTTGCCCTTTCTCGGGATTAGGAGAATCTGTATACCTTGCGTTCATACAGACGGACAGATAGACATGGGTATATTGACTCATCTTGCATCCTGATCAAGAATATATAATCTTTGTGGTGTCTGCCACACTGCCTTCTGTGTGTTGCATGCACACTTGCACAAAACTAATAAACCCTTTTACCCTTTGGGTACAGGGTACACAAATGTAAGCCGGACTGTCCAACCCTACCAAAAGGCGGGATGTATTTTCTTTTCTGTATGAGGCAAATTAGGCGTTTAATCAGAAAACTAACTTCAAAGTCGTTCATTTTGGGCAAAACTAAATGATGAAGGTTATAAGAAAACCAAATACTATGTGGACAATCCTATATCAATAAATATGTATATACATTTACGGTATGCATTTACAATATCATAATCTTCATAGGATGTAAAGAAACAGGCGTCTTGACCGGTCACTTTCATGCCGATATGTTTGAATAGTGTACAATCGATTGTGCAATGATATTTGTATTTTTGTGTATTCCCACCTACCATTTTAAGCCCAACTATTTACTTCGCTTTTTAAACCATGTATACAAATGGTAAAAGGATATACAACACACACAAGGAGGCGTGGCAGATTATGGGTACATATTCTGGATCAATATGACAAGAGTCGATATAGCCATGTCGGTCCGTCTGTCGGTATGAGCGCAAGTACAAGAAATAAAATTACCAATCTTGGTATCGAGGTTCTCTAAAGGCCTTGGCAGATGAAGTTTGTTTTTATTTTCTTATGCACTTCTCCGCTATTAATAATTTTCCATAATTCCTGTGTTTCTTTGAATTTTTAAATCAAATTTGGCAAATACCTGCATAAGCATGTACATATGAAATATTTTATGTATATTTTATATTTAATTTAATAATTTAATAAATTCATAAAATTGATTAAACTTTTTAAAAATTAAATATATATATTTAAGAGTTAGCCCGCTCGACTCTAGCATTTCTTTCCTGTTTATAAAACTTGTATAAATAAGACCGATTTAGATCAAACTCAAAAGAGTATTCTCGAATATGTTACAGGATGTGCTTTCACGAATAATAAGCCGGATTACTTACCTCATTACAAATTAGTTGTAAATTAATAAACTTACGAGAAATGAGACAAAGGAGCAACAACAACAGCCACGGGCAATGCCTGGTCAGAGATAACATTTATGGCATTAACTTCCTTTACATTTAACCTATCTTGATAAAACTTAACATGAGGTCAGATAAGCACAGTTAGTGCTAGTAGTAGTTCCTAATAGAGGTTAAGAATTCCAAAAACTCGTTTTGTTTTTATTATAGAATTTATTTAGTTTGTATTTCCGTCCTAATTTACATTTTAATTTTTGTCAGTGAATAGACAAGAAAATGGTGAGAGCACTTTTTAAAACATAAAGTAGGAAAATTGCAAACAAGCTATGCAGATATCATGTTACTCGCTGAGTTCAATAAACTAAGGGTACAATCAAGCAGGTTGGGTAGATAAGTAGAAAGGCAGATCAGCCTCAATTAGCTTTAATTAAATTTTCCAAAACGGAAAGAGAACCAAAACTTTGACCACTGGAACAGAAACAAGCGACATTTGGCGCGTGTGACAGATGAACGCTTCACTAGAGGTCGACCCTCATTGCCGGCTAATTTTAAGGCGTCAAGAAAACGAACGAATGTCTTTTCGTGCTAGGGTAATTAAAGTGTTCTTCAAAAAGCAACAAAAGGAAACAACTCGCAATTAGTTTGCATGAAAATTTAACAAGCGAGTAGATCAACATGTATGTATGACTGAGGGGAAGGGGAAGTGTGTCGATGATAATTGCTCGGATTTCTAGCTGGGGTGGAGGGTGACACGTTCATATACTTGTATGTGCATCACCAAACGTTTGTTAATTTAATTAAGTGCGCTGTTACTGTTTGATAGCGGCGTTGATTTCCTGTTTTTGAAATGGAGAAGCAGACCAGCAACCAGTTAATAAGGATGCAGTCGCAGCCTACGCGGTATTTGATTAATTTCTAAGACGTCCCTCTCTTAATTTTTCGTTACAGACATGTACTCTACGCACACCTCCTCCAGCTATTCGCCCTCGATCTCTGATGGCACGATCACGCCCAACTCACACAAAACACAAGTGGCACACACGGGGGAGCAATCCGAGTCTGCGACTGTCGTCTCCAACGGTGAAAACACAAAAGCCAATGGCCAAGGTGCTGGTGAAGAACAATTGCTTGCCACAGTAGCTCCCAAGTCGAAACGCCCGCCACACTTGCATCATCATCACCAATACCATCAGCAAGTACTTAAAATTGCCAACAAGCTGCGCAAAGTTAAGAAAGAAACCAAAATGCAGATGGGTGGTGTGGCACCTGGGGCGGCAGGCGGCAGCAGCGCCTCCACAAAGTTTGATAAGTTGACAAGCGAAGGCATTAAAAGCAGTAGCGACGGTTCCTATCAGTGTCAGTTCTGTGATAAATCATTTCCGCGACTTGGTTATTTGAAGCATCACGTGCAGGTGAGTGGGAAGTGGGCTATGAAGTTGTCTTTTATGTAGATGGGTATGGGTATTAATTAACGTACTTGCTTGACATTGTCAGTGCAAGTGTCTCGTCTGGCAGGGTTAGGTGTCAGATTTGCGGTCCTTGGGGTAACTCAGTTGTCAAGTGTTGGTGCTTTGCCATGCTAAACAATTTAGAAATTACAGGTACATACATACTAAGTTGGCCTTCATTAGACGAACTCAAAACATGACATCAGCAATTTGTTGACTTAATTCAAACTGTGCTTGGAACAGTTTTGGTTGGATCTTATCGGGCGCTGACATGTAGTGCTGCTTTTGATCCTAGCGCCTCGCGGTTTTACACGTCTCATGCGCTTCGTGCTCTCTTCCTGTCGCGTCATTGTTTGTTCTATGGCCGCGGGATGATGAGCTTGGATGTTGATGATTTTTGCGACAGTTTAAAAAACCATAACTAACACGATAACTCTGCATTGGGGCCAGTTAAGTTGCTCATATTGTGCAATAAAACGTCGACAGGTTGCATACAAATGGGTTAATTGTTTTGCCAGCAACAGCAAAATTTTGCGGCTTCAAAGAAATTAGCCGACAAGCGGCAGAGTAGCCGCCAAAGAACCCAAAATGTAAACCGGTTGCGGGCGTCAGTACATCGGCTCTTCTCCAGACTGCCCCATGTCCCTTGCTTTTGTTGTAGCTTTTTGCGGACGGTTGTCGCGCATTTTGATTATTTTGTCCACAAGTTCACCATCACCACCACCTACAGTATGCGTATGCAGATTCAAATTCAGATTGAGTCGCCGCTGCAGCAATAAATTAAGCCCAGGAGACGCGAACTTGAGCTGGCTTAGAAGCAACCATCAGTTAACGACATGCTTGCTTTCTTGTAGGAATTTCAAATAGGTGAGTGCCCGTATTACGAGTGGGGTCATCTTGGTGGCCCCAATTATAACTAGATGAATACCAATCTTAAATGAAATGGGTGCAATAGTTTTATCTTATTACTAGCAACATTGCATTTTTCTAAACTTTTCTAAACAGTTAACTGATCAGTTCCTTCCTAAAAATACGGGTATGCCAGGGCTAAACGAAATTCAATATATGCCGTGGCTTATCGATTTGAATAGGCAGATTCCTGAGGTTGCAGTATTTTTGTACGGATACATTTGTATGCTTGCATTTTGGGCTAATAGTAAAATGAGTGAATTTGTTTGTTATTGCAGAGCCATGCCGAGCATTTGCCTTTTAAGTGTGAATACTGCGCTAAGCTATTCAAGCATAAGCGTTCCCGAGATCGCCACAAGAAGCTTCACACGAACGAACGAAACTACAAGTGCCCGCACTGCGAGGCGGCATTCTCCCGAAGGTAAGCACTGGTTGAAAGCGAATTTACCTAGTTTTCGGGACGTACAATCTGGCAGACAATTTGAATACGAATTGATCACATTTTTCAAGCATTCCCTGAAATTTATGCGGTTCCAAAGGCAAAACACAATACAAAAAATTGGACCAATTCGTATAGAATTATGGCCGCCTATTTTATAAATAATTGCATCCAACCTCTATGATTTTTTCACAGTGATCATCTAAAAATTCACATGAAAACCCATGACATTCAGAAGCCTTTTCAATGCAGCATGTGCAATCGGGGCTACAATACAGCCGCAGCACTAACCTCACATATGCAAAAGCACAAGAAGAACGCCGCCATCCTAGCAGCTGGAGGTAATCCTAATGCACTTAACTACAGTCCACGCTCTACAGGATCTGCGTCCGCTTCAATCTCGAGCAATGGTAGCCTGCATAAACGGCGCTATGCCCTCGCCTTAGCAGCATCTGACAGCAGTCCTAACCACCAAGAATTTTCCAAGCGGGGGCGGAACCACGTAACGCCTACGCCACTTTTACGCTGCAGCTACTGCCCCAAGGCTGAATTTAGTAGCTTGGAGGAGCTGAACTTACATTTGCAAAGCATTCACGAGCAGGCTCCACAGCTCGAACCAGCGAACCAGGTAGACGACGGTTTTCACCTGAGCTGTGAGTACTGTACAATGAAATTTGGAAACATTGCCGGCCTCTTTCAACACATGCGTACCACGCATATTGATCGTCTGAACAGTCCTAACTCATATTACGAACACTTTAATCGCCTGGCTACCGCTGGAACTTTCAGTCCACGGCTAGTGCTTGAACAGATACCTAAGAACAAACGTGATGTGACAAGTCCCACGCAGCCAACTCCTAAGTTAACCGAAGAGGGACCCACAGATCTAAGCAGTAACAATCGTCACGTTGCCACCGCAGTCTCCCCACGCGGCTCGCCTGCCCTCCATTCTCAGGGCCATTCCGCCCCAGACGTTTTCTTATGCAATCAGTGCAACGCTGGCCTCCCAGACTTTGAAAGGTTTCGAATTCATCTGAAGTCACACATCGCCGAGGGATTGCAGCTTAACTGCCCCCACTGTGGGCTAACGCTGCCAGATCAGTCTGAGTTTGAACATCATGTTGTCACCCACTTTCTGATCCACAACTCTGAGTTTTACTGCACGGCCACAGATTGCAGTAAAGCATTTAGCAAAGTTGATGAGCTCCAAAAGCATTTGGTGAGTGAGCACGTGCTGACCATGCTGAAGTGCGCCATCTGCTCTGAGCTCTGCGATTCTCAAATGACCATGCGGTTGCACTTTGCTTGTGCTCATAGTCAGGAAACGAAGCTGCTCCGATGCAGTGCATGTATGGAGCTGTTTCATAGCGAACCGGAATTCCATGCACATGTTCGTACACGTCATCAGTTAGCTGCGAACCATGGTCACTGCCACAATGAACTCCCTCCCGCGGCATCGGTGCCAGGTGCGAACACGCTTCAATGCATGTTTTGTCGCGTAGTCTGCACTTCGGAGCTTGAAATGCACTTTCATTTGGCAGCACATGCACGCCAGTTTCGTTGTCCATCTTGTCCAGAGACATTTCACGTTGAATTTCTGCTCGACCGGCATATGCAAAGTCAACATGGTGGGAACATGGCCGGTGCCTTGGAGGAGTGTGCAGCCAGCGACAAGGAAAGCTCCGATGAGGCTCCTGCAGCGCCTTCCAACTCGCTTAGCCCCATAAATAGTTTGTATATAAATGCACTGTTTGGAGCCAAAGCGCAGCCATTGGGTTCAATTGCCGGAAACAGCAACTTAAACGCCACTACAAACAACAACAATAGTATTCTTGATTACAATGTAGCTTTTGCTGCTTCTCAACTGCAGCATAATGGACTGTTTGCTCCCCCACCAATAGGCGCCAGCCCTGGAAAATTCTATAATCCACTCCAAGTGGATACTGTAGGCCTCAAGCCATCCCACCCAGCGCTTATGTATGGAATAAATCAGCGATATTTCGACACGAATCGGGCTCTGATGGAAATGTACGCTACTCAGCAATCCAAATCAGCAGGTGGATATGCCGCACCAAGTCCTAAAACGCAGGGCAAGGCTGAGACAGGCAGTGGGAGTGCTGGCTCTGCTGTGAACGCTTATAGCTGTGGGATGTGTGACCGCCAAGATTTTCGCAGCGAGACAGAACTTCTCTCGCATCGCAAAATCTCGCACAACATGAAGACAGGTGTAAGCCTTCGATGCGCCTACTGTGCCGGAAACTTTAAGTCCCGCAACGAACTGGAACACCACATGAAAACCTGTCATAACTCGACGGGCAAACACAAATGTCTCATCTGCGACGAGGTCTTTCCGTCACCAGCCATTCTCGCAGAGCACAAGTTGCAGCACTCAAAGGTGGGCCAATCAGGCAAATGTTGCCACTGCGCCAAGCCGCTGCCGGATGTAGCCGCCTTTAAGGGTCACCTGCATGAGCATGGTCACAACAATAACAGTAGCACTGCGCCCGTGCAATGTATATGCTGTCGGCAGACCTTGCACTCGGACTTTGAAATTAGTCTGCACGCCAAATTTCACACAAAATCAAGCAACAGTGTGCAAGAGCCAGTTTGCGCTCTTTGCTTAGAACCACTGCGTAACAACAACAGTAGCAATAGTGGTGGTAATAACACTAGCAAAGCGGAGACTCCACCCGTGAGAGCGAAGGTATGTGACAGGTGCTGGCGAAAACACAGTTTAAATTCCAAACCGCGAAAGTCCAGCAACTCGGGACTTCCAGCATCGCCACTGTTCATCGAGAACCGCTGCAGTCTCTGTAAAATGATTCTTCCCCATGCTGCCAAGCTGCAGGAGCATCTGGTGGAGCATACATTTTCCGGTACAGGGGAACGTGGTTTCAATTGCTATATCTGTTCTGCCGTATTCACAGCGCCCGCGGGTCTCCTCAACCACATGCTGGAGCATGGACCCCATGCTCGTCCATACGACTGTAACCTGTGTCCGGACAGATTCTATTTTCGGGCCGAGTTGGATCATCATCAGCGAGTACACGAGCTGAGGCCTGTGGACGCAAATGTCCCTTCAGCGCCGACGCCCGGAGCCCCACCTAAGCAGCAGCCTATTACACTATCTAACCCAGCTGTTGTGAAGGGTGAGGCCTATGAAATGCCGACCACAGTAGCTTCACCACCGATAGAAAACGCCCAGGAGGAAGAAGAATACATTGAGGTAGAGCAAATGCTACCTGAAACACGTTCAGCCACAACAGAGGAGCCAAGTTCAGGGTCTATCAGCAAAGAACATTCCAGCAGTAGCCCCTAGGCTCCGAATTGAGCGCACGCATGAAGTCCGTCTTAGCGAGGTTTTATCAACAAACAACAACAAATCAGAATTTAAAATATTGAAGATATTCAATTCGCTACAATTTTGTTATATTGTCTGATAATGAAATATCAATGAATATTTTTTTCTGTTTAAAGAAAAGAACACATCGTGTTTGATATTGTTTTAGCTATTGCATAAAATGTTAAAGAAAAACTCAAAATATTAATCTTCTATACTCACTAGTGCGAAAATATATATGTAAATTCACTTTATGTGTAGCACTAGTCCTAGCCCAAATATAGACCTATATACGAGTAACTTCAGTATATCACAATAGTGCTAATATCAGTGATCAGCCTTTGACAAAACAAGGAGCAAGGATTAGGTACTACAATTACCAACAACCAAGTATAGTATACAATAAAAGAAACAATAAAAGGTTCGTGGGTGAGTTATGTTTTGAGAAACGGCTGATCATGTGAAGAATCAATTTACAAAGCCTTCCAGGAAGGATCATAATCACAATCTTTGCATTCCTCGCAGTTTTTGTAAGATTTTGAAAACGGAATTTCTCGTTTATTAGCTTACAGTTGTAATTAGCTGTATTTCTACATATATAGTATACATGCATAGGATACACTTATAAAAAAATATACATAATTACATATTTATGAGTAATCTCCAAAAGTATGTAATCAAATAAACATAAGCACTGTATTCCATATACTCTACACGTATTTATGTATGTAGTCATGAGAATTTTAGTTTTCGTTACAAATTTCGTGTGTGATAGTTTTTAAAGATAAACAATAATTGCTGTTTGTAATGTACTACTACTATAAGTGCAACTCATCATCATTTTATGTTATACATCTACTTATTATTTTGCATTAACAGTATTTGCTTTACACATCTAGTTACTTATGCTAGGTAATTTATGCTCACATATGTACTATATGTACCATACATCTATGTATATTACACGTACAAGTATAGTACATAGTCATACATATACACACCCATATGTATGTATGTATATACATATACGAGTATATAGTATATAGATGCATATGTATGTGCATACAAACTCAATTATGATGTCTTACATAAGCACCAAACATTTTATGTGTAACATTAAAAAAAACACACTTTATAAAATATTTAGCAAATAAAACACCAATCTGAAACCAAATCCAAAAAGAAAACTGCCTTTATTTATTTTATGGCCGTAGCTAGAAGTTCCACTAAATAAAAACAACAGCAATAACAACCAACAATAAATATAAAAGAGTTGCTTGGAAAATCTGATAAGATTTTTATGGAAGTTGACGACATGCGTCGGAGCTCACCGGTTTTATGGCGAATTTTTCGGCAGCTGTGACACGTAAAGGCCGTAAATAAAGTGCGCGCTAGGGTACCCGTTGAGTCGTTTTGCCGGCGAGCTAAGCAAGCGGGTAAGTTTTGCATAAAGGGAACAGGGAACTGTACCTGGGTGATCTTAATCGACAAGAGCTTTTGGTGTTCCTCAAGACCAGTGGCAATTACTCCGACCTGCTTGTGCTTCCTAGAATATGCTGCGACGGAATTTCTAATCTAGTCCATTGGGCCGCAAATTCCAACAGCAGCACCTCACGCTTCTCGGAAGCAATTTAAAATAAATTGCATTTAATAAATTGCAGTGCTAGACACATGCACCTGTCTTCCTAAGTGTATTTAAGTACACACACCTATTTATAAATGTGTACATATATGTATATACATACGTTATACGTTGGCTCCTGTCAATCTGAGCCGCGGCGGCATCATCACAAATCAATAAAAATGTTTGTTGTAACAATTGCTCCAACTACAAAGCTGCAATTCAGTACTAAATACCGGCAGTAGTTAATTAGCGCCATACCGGGAATGCCAATGCGTGCGGTTGCTGGTCGCTTCAGTGGCCAAGTTAAACATAGTGAACCATCCGATCGACCGATGAATTCAGCTTTATTAATCGCTTTCGCCCCAGACCGCCAGGCGCGTCGGTGAGACCCCGTTTTTGATCTGTCTTCCTCACATACCCGTGCCCGATCACACTCCCAATGCTCCAATACTCGTTCCCGCGAATTGTTTCTTTTTTCCAATGCCGCCACCGTCCAAGCTGAAGCGTCACCAATATGTCCACACTTGACAATAAATTTCAAATGTCTCCTGCACGTCGCGCATCCAAATACCATCGAAAGCAGCAGTATACTCGTATGAGCAGCGCACTACCCTGATATTACAACTGGTTTCGAGCTTTTTATTGGCTACAAAACTGCATGCATATGCTTATACATACAAGTAATAGGAATTAAAAATCATATTCTGTTAATTTAGAATATGTAGAATAATTAAACAAACTAACAAAATTAGGAAAATTAAAAAAAATAACAAAATAACAAAATAACAATATTGATATTTTTTCCTTATTCCGAGATATCTGTTTAATAAACAGATTTACAGCCAGCCGTTGGAAAACAAAGGTTAGCAGATTCAACGCTTGTTAATTGCACACACAACACAAATTTCTTTTGGGCTTTTGAGTCACATTATTGACAGAAACAAAATGTCTTACATCAATCCCCAGCAAGAAAATTTTGCAGTCGCACGCAGTGGAGCTTAAATCTTTTTGAAAAATATATTATGTACTTATTTTCAATAAAAAAAAATGTTTTATTTTTATACCCTGTACCCAAAGGGTACAAGGGTATATTAGTTTTGTGCGAGTGAACATGTAACACACAGAAGGAGGCGTGGCAGACCCCACAAAGTATATATATTCTTGATCAGCATGACAAGCTGAGTCGATATAGCCATGTCCGTCTGTCCGTCTGCCTGTATGAACGCAAGGATCTCAGAAAGTAGAAGAGCTAGAATAACTAAACTTGGGATCTAGATTCTCCTACCCGAGAAAGGACGAGTTTGTTCATTTTTCCCGATGCACCCCCCCACTCCCCTCTATTCAAGATTTTCTAAAACTCCCGTAATTCTAAGAATAAAATTTGATAGACACATCCAGATAGTGATTATATATATGGCCCAATGCACACATACATACACATGTACAAATACACCAATTCTGATGTAAATGTATGTATGCATGTATGGAATATTTTATATTTAATTTAGTTAATTAATTAAATTAAGTTAATTAATTAAATTAAGTTAATTAATTAAATTAAGTTAATTAATTAATTAATTAAATTAAATTAATTTATTTTTTTGTGGTGTGGTACAGGGTATTTAAGAGTTGAGCCTGCTCGACTTTAGCATTCCTTTCTTGTTTTAATTTATTTTATTAACCTTATCCTAGCGTTACAAGTTCAGGTTACTTTTAAATTATTACACTAGTCATTAACATTTTAATTATATCAAGCTTATTATTAGGTTATTTTAATATTATTAATTTTAGTTTCAATATTAAACATTTTTATTATTCTTTGTAATTATATATATTTTGCCTGTTGAGTAGGCAGCGTGTGTTTAATATTATAATTTTTGGTAACGTTAATTTACTTAAGCCAAGTGTGCTTGAATCTTAACCCTGAAGTGCGTTTCGCTGCTAATTGTACCCTGTACCCAAAGGGTAAAGGGTATACTAGTTTTGTGCGAATGTATGTAACATAGTACGAATTTGAGTTTTTTTTTCGATGCGCCCACTCCCCCGCTATTTGTGTTTTTTACATAGCTACCGTAATTCTTGGAATTTCGAATTAAAATAATTACATTCAGTTAGTGATTATGTGTCTGTATGTTAAATTTCATCATGATTGGTCAATTCTGAAGAAAGTTATAGCCATACATGAAATCGCAGCCCATGCTCTGCTTGTAGCTCTGCCCGCAGCTGTTGTTGTTGTTCCTGCTTTGGTTCAACTTTGTGCTGCATACATACAGACATATAAACACGCAGAGACACGATTCTGATGTAAATGTATGCTGTTGAAACTGTACATGAACATGTCTCTACTTTTGTATATACATATGTATTGAATAATTTGTATTTAATTTAATTAAATAATTTATTTAATATAATTTCTTAATGGCCTAGTGGATAGTGCACGCGCACACCAAACAAGAGGTCGTGGGTTCGAGCCCCACTCATGGCGAGAGCATGACCTAAATTTTCTCCTCTCGAAAAAAAACTCTCCTAAACTCATGCCTTCAACGTCGTGGTCATCTATCCACCCAAATAACACAGGAATTCTCCCAGAAACAACAACACCACATGGGACACAGCCATACAGACGGCTAGAAATAGAGAGTGTTAAGATTGGAAAAAATGTCCTTGTAGTAGCCCTAAGCTCCCAAGTGGAGTACAAAGGAAATAAAAATAAAAAAAATAAAAATAAAAAAAATTTTTAAATTAATTAAAATTTTTTCCTTTTTGGTGAAGTCGAGCAAGCTCAACTATTAAATACCCTGTACCTCCCACCAAAAAATAAACTTCACCTGCCTTCCCTTTTACCCTTTGGGTACAGGCTATAAATATACTTATCCTTCAACGCAAATGATGTCAAATAAATGTTCAGCCGACAGCCGACCGAATGTAATAACTTGCTCCGTTACTCATGAACACATTTTTTTTAAAATCACGATGGATGTTACAAATGGGTCGATAATTGTGAAGCCAATAAAAAATATATTTATTGTATCAATCGATTCCGCACTTTTTTCTTTATATTCACAATCAAGCTCAATATCCTCTTTATTTATTTTATTTATTTTATTTATTTTATTTTATTTAGTACATTAACAATAATTCTGTCGATTATAATAATTAAAATATATTTTAACATTTTATATATATTAAAATAAAAAATTAAATGATGATATAACTTAATATAACAATTTAAACTAAACTTAAAAGATAATAAAGCATAACACAAAGCTGTACAATAACGTCTATTAATGCTTCCGACACGTTGGGGGAATTTTATTTGCCATTTAGCCAGCTCATTAGGCCAGTCATTAATAAA